AGCCTTCCATACCTGCCTACAAAGACAAGTATTAACGGTCGTTGGTCGTTGGTTCAGAATCACAAATTTATTTTTTGTTGTTGTCATTGGCAAGAAACTCACACACCACGCCACTTTGTTTTTTTGGAGACCTGAACTCTGTCCATTCACTTTAAAGTAGCATGTTTAAGAAAAGAAATGATAGAGGAGACATCATTGGGCCACATAGACCTTAGTAGAACCACAAACCTTAAACATACTACTCTGCATCAAAATCCTGTGATTTATATCTTCCTAACCAGCAGATCTATCATGAAGACTTCTCCATAAAAATTTTCTAATTTTGGGCTTCACATGGAGTTTCCAAATTTCAGACCATTGACCTTCCTTCTTCCTTTGCCTTGTTTTCCTTTTCATTAAATTCATAGCTAGCTGCTAAGCTGACTTCACATGAATTTTCCATTAGATGTATTGAGCCAAAATTGATCTTTTTGACAAACAGTTACTTAATCAACTCCACGTTCCAACTCTTTGTATCTTGATTTACTAGGTCCTCAATCCAAAAAAAAAAACCCTATAATTGCTTCTAAATACACTTGTCGAGCTTCCAACAAACTCTGCCAAGCCTTCATATTTGAGCATTTATTTTATCAATTTAATATCATGTGAATAACATATATTTAAAAAAAAAAAAATTGAATTTTAAATGATAATGGATATAGATATGAAATAGTAATACATTTGAAAGCATTTTGCATCTTTTATTATGTACTTCCTTTCAATATAAACATTGAATTTGGAAAAAGAATAAATAAAAACATTAAAAAATAAAGTTGTTAGCGTTCCATAAAGGATAGAAACATCTTGAGTCCAAAATTTTCTCTATGAAATATTTAAAAATAATAATATCTTTGATGGTTCACTTGTGTGACACCCTTAATTTTCACATATAAGTTGGTCAGGCTTATACATAAAAATTAAGACACATCAAGCAAGCACCTGGTAGTAAATATACCAGAGTACAACATGCAATAATAATAAAAAATAAAGGCGGAAGGAAATACTATCATTAAATAAACCCAAATTCCATAATTTCTCATTTATTACAACTCAAGAATCTCATAAACCAAAGACCCTGAATTCAAATCCATAAATATTATTCATAATCAAGGACGGAGCCAGTATAGGACCAGGGGGGCACGTGCCCCTCCTAGATTTTTTCCTTTCCTTATTATATATATATATTTTCCTATAATAGGTATAAATTTTTTGAAAATGTGTAAAAGTGCCCCCCCTCAAATTTTTCCTTCCCTTGTATACTCTATATGTTTCTTTAATTTTTTTTTCTTGAATTGTTTCATTATATTCTATATATGTAATTTATTAATTTACCTTATTCCAAAAATATCAATCTCTATCTATATTTATCCACCTATTTCTCTTTAGGTATATATACTCCATAAATATTAATTTATATGTATTTAGTGTACAATGTGCTCTCCTGGAACAAAAATTTTGGCTCTATCCCGGTTCATATTCCAAAAAGTTTAGAAAGAATGCCAAAACCTACACTAAAGAAAAACTAGGAAAAAAGAATAGATGATTAGATGATCACGAATGAACTGCGATAAGTTGAGTCCTCAACCCTGTGGCTGAAACTGTCTGTGACCTGAAATTTCAACAAAATGTGGGTTAATCCCACGAGTAAGTCTTCTCTATTACAACCCAACCGAGTACTTATAAATCCATCATCTCAAACGAAACCAACACAATAACATATATAACCCTTAACTCAAAACCCGTAAATATGTGATCAACAATTTTATGCATGAGGCTATGTTTGGCATAGTAGAAAATAAAAGAAAGTATAACTTTAGTCAGGAAAGATAAGAAAAGAAAGGGAACGAGGGGATATTGTCAATTACTTGTGTTTGGTTGATTAAGATAAGAAAAGAAAAGAAAATAAAGGATAGTAATCATGGTTGAGTAAAGAAAGAAAATGAAACTATTTTAATAAATTTACTATCATACCCATTTTTATAGATTTTATCTTCTATAAAAATAAGGGCAAAATTAGTATTAATAAAGTTTCATTAAAAATTATTGTCTTTCCTTTCCTTTCATTTCCTCCCACTTTTGGAAGGATAACAAAATCAAGCAAGATGCTTAAATTGTATCCTTCCAAATCCCTCCATTTTCTTTCTTTTCCTTTAATGATACATTGCCAAACATGATATTTCATTTCCTTCTATTACCTTTCCTTTCTTTTTCTTTCATCACCTTCCAACCAAATTGACCCTAAGAGAATAGGCAACTCAACCATGCCTCAGCAAATCAACCATTCCTGCAAACAAACCACGACAACTCAACCATGCCATAACAAATCTGGGTACTTGTGAAACTGCATAAATAGTCAGCTTATAGTAGTTCCATAACATATTCCACATGCTCATAAACATAGTAAATTTATTCTCTACTACTCCCTCAGTCTAAAAGAAAAATGTCCTTTTTTGAAAGCTATGACTCACAAATGAAAAGTCATGTTAATATTAATTAAGATACTCATTTTAATAAAACACAAAAAATCACATAATTTTGTTTAATTTAAATTTAAATAAATGTTTTAAATTGTTATAAATATTATAAATACTAAGCACTTTCATAAGGGATACTAATATCATGAATTAACTCAACAATGAATAATCGAGTTGAAGAAAAATAATAATTGTTTGAGTTCGAATGTCAAGAATGAGAGTCAAGTTTAAGAGTTACTACTCCACATGAATAAGATGGAGCATTTACCTTTAAACAATAATCTTGAATAACCTAGCTTTAACTATCTCAAATTTATCAGGGAATCTGAAAAAGAGAAAACAAATAATATTTTTTTATTTATTTATAGAATTAGCAAAGCACAGGGAGCACCTAATGAAATAAAAATTAGAAGAAAAAAACTAAATCAACAAAGACTGAACCAAATAAAAGTTTGTATAATGGAAGAAACAGAGATTCAAAGACAGAACCCAATTAAGAGTTTGACAATGTTGGACAACTGAATATATTTGTGATTTTCTGTTTTTATCAGATGCTTGTGTTCTTTGTGAAAGGATATGTCATTCAGGTTGGCGTTTGTGTCCTCTCAGAATTAATGTGCTATTTAGGAATAAATTTATTAATAATAGTAATTTAATTCAAACCTTGAAAAGTCACATAAATGATCATAGAAACCCTTAAATTTTAAACTTATGTGGTGGATGTTAGAGTTAAAAACTTTTATGACGCAGTGAAAAATGTTGGCATAGAAAAAAAACAAATGGATAAAGTAAAATGTTCTATTTTTGCTTAGCATCGCTAAAGGTTGTAACTTAAGCTTTCTCACTTTTCAAAATAAAAGGCCGATGATTCAATTGCATGACCAAAATATATATATATATATAGTTAATCTAACAGTTATATTAACCCACCTATATCCTTTCTTTTCAATACAAAATTACTATCCCTATTTCAAAATTTTAAATTTAATATTTACTAATACCTCTAATTATAACAATAAAAAAAAGGTAATTATATATGTGTGTGTGCGTGTGTATACCAGCCTAAGAATATAACATTTGTTTCTTAGAAGCAAAGTTTGCTAATAATAACAATTTGGAAGGGGATAGATGCCCTTTATTTTTAAGGAAGAACTACTTTTAAGTAGATTTAGGAAATCCTAAATAACAAATCAATCTATTTTAAAAGTTGACTTTTCAATTTGGTTGAGTTAAGCAAAATAATTACATATGCATTGAAAATTATTTTTTAGGTCCAAAATATCCTCCAATTCTTATTTCAAAATATCAAAATATCCTTTCTAAATCAATAGTTTTTTCATTCAAGAAATTTAGAAAAACAAGATTTCTAAGTTGACGTTTAACTTTGAGGGTATTTTTGCATGTGATGTATATATTACCAAATAATAATAATAATAATAAATAACATATATATATATATATATATATATATATATATTTATCTAGTAAAAAAAAAAAAAAAAACTATGCACTTAACTTTAACTGTACCTCCTAATCTATATTGATTCAAACCTACAAATATTAATTTAGAAATATTCAAATAATTTAGTGAAAATTCATAATATATATATATATAATGTTATGTGCACATAACTTTAAGTCTTTAACCATATCTCTAATTCATACTAATATAAACCTTGCAAACGTGAAATCTTTCCTGTGCAAAAAATAGATATATATACAAACACACATTAAGTATATACACTAAATTAGCTGCTCACACACACTGGAGATGGAATCATACTCTCACACATGGGGGATGGAATCATGAAACTAATTAAGTAATTGTTTAGTAAATGGTACACCAATAACCATTTTTCTATTTATATATTTAAAAAAAAAAAAAAAAAGTGTTAATTGAGAGAGATGACTATCATCTCAAGACACGCATCACACCAAATAAGATTTATTCTTTGTATAAAAGAGTTTAATTAATTTTTTTTATTGGAACTACTCTTTAATTGCCGGATTTTTTACTATATTGAATTTTTATTGTTTATATACATTCTCGTGTGTATATATATATATCAACTCTTCACATCTCAACAAAACTCGAATCCCTCTTCTCTCTCTCCTCTTCTTCTCTTCGTCTCCAAAACCTCCCATTCCGGTGGCCGATTACTTGCTTGATAGACACAAATTTTCATCTGAAACTGCTTTGAAAGTCTCTTCCGTCGTGACGTATCTGAACGAGACCGATTCGATTCTTTCATTTCTCCAGGAAAGTGGTTTTTCGGATTCCCATGTCGAGCCTGTCATCAAACGCATGCCTCAAGTTCTCTCTGCAAATCTTGAACGCACCATCAAACCCAAATTCTTTCAGGACTTGGGTTTTTCTTCCAGCGATGTTGTGAAAATTGTTTCGTCTAACCCACGGATTCTAACTGGTAGCATTGATAATCTGCTTGGCCGTCGATTTTAGCATTGAAGAGTGTTTTGGGTTCGAATATGGATGATGTGTCTAGGGTTTTAGAGAAATATTCGGGGATTTTGAGGTTTGATTTGACGAAAACTATGATACCCAATATTGAATTTATGAAGAGTTGTGGTATTAGTTCGTCGCAAATAGCTCGATTTGTCTATAATTACCCATTATTTTTCTTGCGTAAACCGACGAGAATTAGAGAATATGTCACGAGGGTTGATGAGATGGGCTTTGACAGGGAGTCTAAGAAGTTTCTTCATGCAATTCGGACAATTAGTTCGATGACTATAGAGAATTGGGAGATGAAATTGGTGGTCTTTAAGAGTTTGGGGTTTTCGGAAGATGACATTTTGTCAGTTTTTAGGAGACAGCCTCATGTGTTTGCTGGGTCAGAGAGGAAAATTAAGGGGATAACACAGCTTTTCCTTAGCACAGGCAAATGTGACATCTCATTTCTTGTTAATAACCCGGACTTACTTGGTTGCAGTATTGAGAATAGGCTTAAGCCAAGGTTAAGAGTTGTGGATGTTTTGGAAAGCAGGAATTTGCTTCTTAAAAAGCCGAGTTTGGGGACTGTATGCAGGATGACTGATAAAGAAGTTCTATGAGAAGTATCTACTCCCTTGTTCAAATGAAGTTGGCGAATTATTTGTGGTTAAGAAAGCCTCATTGAAAGCAGAAATATGTGCTTAAGATCATGATAAATTTCCGAAAAGCAAATGATTTGGCGGCTTAGCATGGGAGGTACTCTTTTGCACTAGATATTCACATTTTTTTCTTCTTGTGTCCATATGGTGGTGTAATACTCTGAAAAACATGGATTAATTTTTGTTTACTAGGCTTAACTCTGCTTTCTAATTCTATCTATGTTATCGCTACTATGTTATGAAATTTATTTACTCTACTGAAAGTAAAATCATTCATGTTTTATTGCAACTCCAAGTTCGTTCATTTCGCATGTATGGGGCTAATAAATTTGATGGCCTAGTACAAATTTACAAAATTAGATTAGAAATATGGACATTGTAAAACTTTATGTATTTGTGTTATTATCTCGAAATTTGGGTACAAGTGTGATTTGTGTCTATGACACTATGTTGTCATTTTTAGTTTTTGTGCCACAGAGCATACATGCTCACGGTGACACAGTCTCTTGACGTGAATTAGTTGTATATTTGGTTACAAATTTCAGAATTGCTTATAAATTTGTACCACCTGTAACCCGTGAGTTGAGCAAACAAATCTTCAATATACTTTCCAGATAATGCATTTACTGTTAGATAGTTTTGAATGTTTTAAAAAAATTCTTATTTAATTTGGAATTCTTAAATTATTCAGAATTGCTTTTTGATATTTTTGTAAGTAATTATTAAATTGAGAGTTATTTCAACATTGGATCATTTTAAAATCTAATAATTGCCTCTGTGTACAAGGCTTTATGATCGGATCCAAGCAAAGAAAGATGATTCATTACATGTGATGGGAACGATTGAGGCCGAACATTTTTAGTCTGCAGTTGAGAATGATGCATTTTTCTGTTTTTTTTTTTCGCTCTAAAATTTGGTTCCGATGTGGTGTGATAGCTCAATGGTAGGGCATGTATTGCTTGTGGTCAAAGGTTTAAGTTCGAATCCCCAATATAATATTTTTTTTCTCTCTCTCTCTATATATATATATATATATATAGACCATTTTTTAATTGTAGTAAAACCCTCCGTTGTAAAACATAGTTAAGTCATGATTTTGGAAAACCCATAGTTAAGTCATTGGGTTCTTTCTCTTGTAGTGTTAATTAATATATTTTATTCTTCTAAAAATAAAAATAAGATAAAAATACTAATTGATTTTATACCCCACTAAATGCAACTATGGATTTTTTCGCCCCTCTAAACTATAGCGAGTATGAAACCATCAAGCGACTCATCTTAGGACAAGAATTATAAATTTTTCATACTGACCATTAGATTGAGTGATTTGTTAAAATATTTGTGACTTTCTATCAATTTCAAATATTGTCTCAATAAATCAATTTCAAATATTGTCTCAATAAAGAGATTAATCATAAAATAATAATAATAATAAAGCGAATTATTCAAATAACTCGAGTGTTTTTTTCCCTCTAAACTATTGTACCAGGCATGTCAAACGAGTAACCTATAGCAAGTATGAAACCATCGAGAGTATCTTACGACAAGAATTATAAATTTTTCATAGTGACCATTAGATTGAGAGATTTGTTAAAATATTTGTGACTTTCTATAAATTTCAAATATTGTCTCAATAAAGAAATTAATCATAAATTATAATAATAATAATAATAATAAAGCGAATGATTCAATATGGCTCGTCAAATTAACAACTTTTTATTCTATAAATATTCCCACATTTCTCTCTAGCTACAAGCATGCTTATTCATTTTATTTGAAGGAGGCAATGCGAACTTTGGAGGAGCATATTTCTCCTTGCCAGCTTGAGAAAACCATTCAAAAACAATCCTAAGAAAAAATAATAATAATAATAATAATACAAAAAGAGAGGAAGGAAAGCAGGAGAAAATGGCTCAATTCATTATTTTTATATTTTGTTCAATATTACTTAAAAAAAGTTAGTTATGATCTTAAATCCATCTAACACAATCAATTCAAGACAATGATCTCCAACACTCTATTAGATTTATCTAACAAAAGATCAAAGGGAATTGGCATCATTAAGTCACACTAGAGTCCATAATATATTCAATTCTTATTAAGTTTTTTTTATACATTCTTCAAGTATATAACTTTAGATTGATTCAAAATTGTTTATGAAATATTCATTTATCACAATTATTTCTAATGATGATTGCATAGGTGATCATTTGGACCATTATTTAGTAGTCTAATTGATAGAGTTTTTAACTCCTTCTTTGAGCGAGTGTGCCTATGTTCGAAACTCCTTCTTCCTAATTTGCCAAGATAAAAAATAAAAAATTATTTGATTCATATCACTGAGTGAAACAAAGAGCCTCACAATATTGTCTTAAGAAATGAAAAAATATTTATTTTCAGATGAATCATATTCTCGTCTTTATTGTGCCTTGTGTGAGTGGTTGTGATGTTTGTGATAGTGGAAATTGTTATTGACAATGAGATAGGTTTTTTTTTTTTTAAATGATTTTTTATTAATTGTTTTATTTTCTTTTAAGTTAACTACTTTTTGTATCTGTTCAAAACAACAATAGTTCGCTCCTCCATAGTCCATCCCCGCGGGGGGGTGGGTCCAAAAAATGATATATTCATTTAATTTATTACTAACTATTTAGGTTATTAATTTTATCAATTTTTGGATTGTATTTTGCCCATTATATTCACTAATAGAAATAATATTGTATTATATATATATATATATATCTAAAGAAGATGAAATGACAAGTTACATAAACGAAGTTGTGAAGAAAAAATATTGTTCAAGATTAAATTTTATTCAACAATTGTTTTAATTTGTGAAGAATTTTTTTTTGATTATATTGATTTCACATTGTGAAATTATATGTCATTGTTAACTTAATGAAATGACATATAAAATTTTAACTAAACAAAACACAATTAGCATGAGTAAATTAAAGAAATGCTAAGAATAATGTATAATATTTTAAATAAACAAAACACAATTAGCAGGGACTAAATAGAGAAGTGCTAAGAGAAAATATAATATTTTAACTAAACAAAACAGAATTAGCTAGCAGGAACAAAATATAGATGTGTTTTAATAACTTGTACAAGAAATAGTTATAAAATATGTCATCAAACAAGTGACAACTAAAAATATTAGCATACATAATGAAATTATTTTCGTTGGCTTTCTTGTGATCTTGGTATAACAATATTTTAATTTTTACTACTTCCCATGAAAATGAGTGATGAGGAAGGGTCATGCATTTTTATTAAATATTACGAGGGGATATTAATGAAAAAAATTATAATTAAATATTACGATGAGACATTAATGAAAAAAATTTCTTCTATATCTTGAATTCATATAATGAATATTATAGTTGTGTCTATGTAAGTGTAAATGTAAATAAAACAACAATATAGTAGTAAAAACTAAAAACAATGAATTTAAATTTTTGTCAGATAAGATTTGAGCTCAAATTATAATTTTGTATGAGTTTTGAGATGACACAAATTATTTTTATTAATAAATTCATAATTATTGATGCAAATGAATAAGTGCTTTGGAAAACTTTGGGGGGGCAATGAATAGGCATGCCCCCTGTTGGCCCTCCTCTGGCTCCGTCGTTGTCCATCCATATACCCATGTAAGCTTGAAGCTAATATACTCACATGAAATATATATATATTTGTGTGTGCGCGCGCGCTTGTGGATAAATTATAGTGGTACTCTTTGAAGTTTTTCTATTGACAGTTATATATAAGTAGCTCATTTTTAATAATGACACTCCCTGCCAATTTTTATACATAAAAATATTATGAAATGTTTAAATTACCCTCATCTTTGTAAAGCTTTTTAGTAAAAGAATAAAATACCATTTTACCACCCCGCCGGGGGGGGGGGGGGGGGGGTGCTTGCCGGCTCACTAATACTACAACAAAGGGTTACATGAAATTGGAGTCTTGAAATTAGAATTGGAAAAAATTTTGGTTCAATTTTTTGAGTTGCTTTTCTCCAATTCCAAAACTCCAATTCTATACAACCGAAGACAACTTAAAAGTAAAATTATTAAATCTGTAATATATATTTATAAATTTTTTGGTTCTAGCTAAGATTTAATTAATATATGCAAGCATGCTTGTTATAATATTTATATTAATATTAGTTAAATAATGCGTGAGGTAAATAATACCATTTTAATAAGTTCAAGTATTGTAGATACTGTATATATATATATATATATATATATATATATATATATATATATATATATATATACCCTTGAATAAGCACCTTGTCAATAATTAATTTTTTTGTTTTTTACTAAATAACAGTTGCAAAATCACTAGTACTTAAAGTGCTAATTTTCAATTCTTTCTAATTAATGTCTCTAGCAATATATTGTAACGCATTAAATCCCATAATCCGGTGCATTAACCAAGAAAACCTAACCCGGCCAGATAATAAGTCTGAAATGCAAAAGCTAGAACAAAATAAAGAGGTCTTAGAGGCAAACACTATCTCTAGGACAACAAATGGTCCTCTAATGAGGTCACGAGACTTAACTCGAAAACAAATGCGGAAGCAAAGAATAAACGGACGGAAATCATTACAAGAATGAAAAAACAAAGGGTAAAATGGCCAAGTCAACAAACGAGACATCATGCGAGGTCTCAAAACACATATGCATCCATATAAATGAATTCCTAAGTACCTTAGGTCGAATGAGAATGGTCCAAATGTAAACAATGAAGAAACCAGCAGCAAACAGGAGCTGCCAGCAATCGGTCGACGTTTAAGGTCTACACATCGACCGAAATGGCAACTCGGTCGACGTGAAGGCAACATTACGTCGATCGAAAACTGGAAATGCCTAAAAAGTCTAATGTGCTACAGTGAAACGTGAGATACCGGTCAACGTGTGGGATCAAGACGTTGACCGAAACCCTGTTGT